AGTCATCCAGCACAACAGAAGAGTGGGAAGGAGACAGAAAGAGCGTGGGTTCACGTGTCCTGTTTGGTGACAGATGCTGAGAGGTCACCCGGCTTCAAACCCTCTCTGTGGGTTCTAATTTCAGCTCAGGTTTGGGACATAAATACTCCTGAGGATCTTTCTCCTCACTCCCTCCTCTATAACAGCACTGAAGTGTCCTACCTGGGGCTACAAGGAAGACAGAACCATTAGTAACTCCAGAGTAACTCCAGAGTAGCATCACATTAGAGATTATTGTATGACCCCAGACAGGGCTGCACACAGGGAGGGAGACAACTTGCTCTTCCCTCAGCAGAAAATAAAGAGTCTTGAGGCAATAAAAGTGGACTTACCCACACAGACAGAACACAAGAAATTGATTTTGAATTATTAAATTAACATGGCAGCTTTTAAACATTGCAAAATATCAGAAACCTAAAATATCAAGTCTCGTCATCTGTGTCAGTCAGTAAGATTTTACTGCTGTATTTACTACAGTGATAATCTCATCTCAATGTCCTACATTTTACCTGCTCCTATGGCTTCCTTACTGCCCAATTACTGCAATTAATGAACCTCAGCACAGCCCTAAGTAGTTTGTGATAAGGCAATGACATCACATTTTGACTATTTGAGAACAGGAAAATTGTGATCGAGTTCACTGGCGTTTAATGAGCAACTCAAGGAGACACATAACCCCAACAAAACGTGGAGATAACACTTCCCAAATCCATATGTTAGGCACTCCCAGCTCTGACAGACAGGCTCCATCACATTTTTCCCTGCAGCAGCTCTGGAGTCACCACATGCTCGCTGTGTGTGCCCGGCAGGAGCTGCGATTCCCGGAGCAGGACACGGGAAGTCCAGGAAAAAACGGAGCTGTTCCCGCTCCTTCACCAGCACACTTCAGTCTTCATGGAATTATAGAACCATGGAATGGTTTGGGTTGGAAGGGACCTTAAGGATAATCCAGTTCCATGGGCAGGGACACCTTCCACTAGCCCAGATTGCTCCACCCTGGTCTTGGACACTTCCAGGGATCCAGGGGCAGCCACAGCTTTTCTGGGAAATCCATTCCAGCCCCTCCCCGCCCTCCCAGCCAGCAATTCCTTCCCAATAGCCCATCTAGCCCTCTGGCAGTGGGAAGCCATTCCCTGTGTCCTGTCCCTCCAGGCCTTGTCCCCAGTCCCTCTCCAGCTCTCCTGGAGCCCCTTTAGGCCCTGCAAGGGGCTCTCAGCTCTCCCTGGAGCCTTCTCTTCTCCAGGTGAACCCCCTCAGCTCTCCCAGCCTGTATCCATAGGAAAAGTGGTCCAGCCCTCTGAACTAACTTGTGGCCTTCCTTGACTCAACAAGATTCCACAAAGAGCCACTGGAACTAAGACACATTTAAACAAAACCCAAACAACTGCTGTTTGCGCTGAGTTTCTTCATATTTGAGAAGAAGCAACAAAAGCCTCAACAGCCTTGGCTGAAATGGCAACAAGGAACATTATGGGAGAAAATCTACCACTGAGAAAATTTATCACCCCAAGCCCAACTTCTACCAACATCCCACTACAAACAAGAGCTATTTCTCCACTTCCTTGCTGCCCCAGGAAGGGACAGTTTGGCAGAGCAGAACCAGCTGGAGAGTTGGATAAATTCATTTTTACTGTCCCTGGGTGAGCCTGACCTCACGTTATCAACCTGTTTAAGAGCCATTATTATCAATTTGTTGACTGAGTCATTCCCAAAATTATACTATACTGAACAGAAGGATTTATTTTTAAATTCCAGGGTGTCCCTATTGCTGTGTTACAGACTGACAGAGAGGAATCTCCCCAGGCCACACTCTCGGTGTAACCACCCCCCTTTACATTTTCCATTTTATCCAACACTGTATTTCCACATTTCCCTGTTTTCAGATTTACCAACCCCTCTTCTCTTCTTGCCCTCCAACAGTCCTATAAATCTGTCAGGTCATTTTTGAGACAAGGTGACCCCGGAGGGACACGGGCGGACAAAACACATCCCGGAACGTGGCCCACATTTTATGCAGATGGGGTTGGAGCTCCGAGTGACCTGAGCTGAGCAGGGACAGGCAGTGACAGGAGCCTGGCTCAGGCAATTTGTCACAGCCAGCCTGTGACCCCCTGAGCTTAAGAGAGGGGGAAATATGTGGAGAGACAGAGACACACACACCCGGAAGCAACTTCCGTAGTCCGGGGAATAACGGGAATGAGCTGATGCAGAGTGACTGCTGCCACCTCAGAGGGGTCACTGGTGACAACTCAGGCATTGCAGCAGCAGTAATGTCCTCTGCCTGCTCAGGGTGGTGGCATGGACATAATTCCTGGAGTTATTTTAAAGCTTTGAGATGAGGTCAAAAGCCACAAGTGTATCATGAACATGTAGGGAAAAGCACAATAAATCCAAGTGACAGGATTTAGGAGCAAAATTGTCCAGACACCATCCCCTCTCAGGTTGGAATTTTAATGTCTCCTTACCAAAACGTCCATAAATCTATCCCTCAAGTAGGTGTGCATCCAGATTACTATTAGTATTGGTATTATTATTCTACAGCCACATCTTCCAAAATCCAGGAGAGACCCTGAGGTTCCTGCAGCAGTCTGACTGTGGCTCTGTGACTTTGTCTTCTACCCAAGTTCCAGGTTTCTAAACATGAAGGTGTGACACATGCCTTAATGAACCACTAACTGAGGATAAGGCAATGGTAATTCCTATATTTAAGCCCTTTTCCATAAACCTGTTCCAAGCACAGGGATCTAAAAATGTCAGAGAATTTACCCAGCCTTTAAAATGGTCCATTTTAATTAAAGCTGAGATCAGCTGCAACAAGATGAGAGTGTAGTTTCCAAAGTCATCTTCTACCAGGGACAAGGAACGACTTGGAACCTGTTGCTGCCCTTTCTCAGGTTTTACTTCCTTTGTATCATTCACATTTCACAGCAAGTAAATGTGTGTTAGTAAAGAGGGTTTATATTCCAAGCACAGTATCTGAAAAGATGCTCCATCTAGTTAGGCCTGTCCTAAGTCCTGTGTCCCATCTATCCATGCTGAATGTTTTAGGAAACTTAGGAATCACTTGTATCACAAAATGGTTTGGGTTGGGAGGGAACTTAAAGCTCATCTCATTCCACCCTTGCCATGGGCAGGGACACATCCCACTAGCCCAGGTTGCTCCAGCCTGGCCTTGGACACTTCCAGGGATCCAGGGGCAGCCACAGCTTCTCTGGGCAACTGTGCCAGCCCCTCCCCACCCTCCCAGCCAGCAATTCCTTCCCAATATCCCATCTAGCCCTCTGGCAGAGGGAAGCCATTCCCTGTGTCCTGTCCCTCCAGCCCTCCAGGCTCCAACTTTCAAACCACTTCAAATCCCAGGGGATCTCAAGCTGCTCTTCCTGAGAGGTTTTGGTGGGAAGGGCCTTCAAAACCCATCCAGTGCCACCCCCTGCCATGGGTAGGGACACCTTCCACCATCCCAGGTTGCTCCAAGCCCTGTCCAACCTGGCCTTGGACACTTGCAGGGATGAGGATGTGGATGTGTCTCCCTCCCTTGAGTGGAGGGAAACAATCACCCCTCTTCCCATGGGAAAAACAAGAGTCAACTTTGGAGCAACGTGCTGTGCATCAGGAATGAGCCACGGGGAGCTTGTCCAGCACAAGACTCGAGATCCCACAGGCCCCTCTGTCACCTTATTAGTCATTTTATTTGCCAGGAGTGGGAATTTTTATGGACACCACTGGAAGCAGAGCAGCTGAGCGCAGGCACTGAGCTCAGTGAGAGACTCAAAGCAGCCAAGAGTGAGCAGTTTTAAGGGAAAACTGAAAAAAACCCCATTTCCCTCCCCAAATTCCTGAGGTCACGGGAGCACTGACAGCCTAATGAATAGTTCAGAGCAGTTTTGGGCACTGCATCATGCTCAGATTTGGGGTCTTACAGAGCTCTATTGAAACAGCAGGACCCCGTTGTTCAGATTTATTTTCTCCTTGACAGGAGGAAAGTGGTTGAGTTTTGATTTAAAGCTGGAGTTAATTTGAGGGGTGGGAACACCCTTCCCCTGCTATAATTTATTCTTTTCAATGTAAACGAATTCACCTGCTTGCTGTAAACTTCACATGTGATTTAGGTTTACAATCAGTTCTAATTATCTCTGTGTTCAGCAAGAATTCAAGACACTGTGGAATATGAGCATCTTAAAGGCTCACACTCCCTTACACGTGCCAAAACCCATCAAACTTTTTTGTGCCTCACTCAGCCCTCTGGGCAGGTTAATGTCATTAATATATGATCTGATCCAATTTATCCATTTCAATGGACAACCAGGAGCCGCCCAACCTCTCCAGCCTGATTCATAAAACAAGCATCAAGCAGATATTACGCTCCCTTCTGGCATCAGAAACTAAAATTGTGCTTTGTGATCCACACAAAAAAGGTTTGTTTTCATTTTACTGAGTTCTCAGCACTGTAACTCTGCAAATTCTTCACAACACCATTGTTTGCCCACCAATGCTAATGAGAGGAATTAAAAAAGAAGTCTTTATCAAGCTAATGTCATCCTTGGGAGTGATTCTGCACTGCAAATATCACATACAATGAAGATGCAACGTTTTCCTTTCCCACAACAATTCCCTTTGGATGACGATCCTGACAACGTTTCCCAAGAACAGTTCTAATGGATCCTGAGGAGCAGCACCAGCACAGTTCTCAGCTGGCTCCCACACCCTGCCACCAACAGAAAAGGGGCTGCAAAACCATTTAAGAGACTTGGGTTTTGTGATATAATTTTTTTTTTTTGCGATATAATTTTGTGATATAATTAATTCCATACACGATTTCAAAGCTCTGCACCTGCCACACCTTCAACTGGGCTCTGCCATACTCCAAATAACTGAGCTGAATTTTTCTCTTTTCCAGTTCATATCATCAATTAGGACTTTTTTTTTTTTTTTTGGCAGCAATCCAAGTGGCTGGAATATCCTTACCTGGGCTGGTTTTCCTGGGAAATATTCTCCCCTCTCTGGTAACCGTTGTCAGCCACCTGAGTCGTGGACCTCTTCACAATCTGCTTGAGCTCCTGCTCCAAGCGATCCTGGATGGCTTTCACTGTCTCTGGGATTTTTTTCAGCTTGGCCAGCCCTTTGATGAGAATTCCCATGAAGACACTGCTGTTCTCCTCTGGATCCAGTTCCGTGTCTTCCTTGATTTCCAGCAGGCTCGAGTCTCGCACTGAAAAGAGATTTCAAAAGGCATAATCCCAGGTTTAAAACTGTTAAACCCGACACCTGAGACCATCCAGAAGCAGCATTTGAACTCCTTTGCCTTCACAGAACTTCCACCACTTGGAGCAACCAAGGAATAAACAAGAAAGCACCTGGATTTAGGGGGAGCAGTGTTTATTTCTGTTTGCTTGGGAGCTTTTTTATACATAAATACAGTAACCTGCACATCTGATTGAGTTAGAAACAGAGGATGAGACAAGTTACGTGTTAGGAAACAGAGGAATCCTGGTGCAATTAAGATATTCATAAATGAGAAGGTACAACACCCCCACAAATCCTTTCAGTGTGTTTTGAGCAGCTAAAAAGCCCTAAATTTCTACCCCAGCTGTTTTAACTGATAATATTCTTCACCATCATGTCCAGCAAGTGAGGAATAAACAAGGAAACCAGCAATACCTGGATTTTGGGGGGAGGCAGAGGATATTTCTGTTTGCTTTTAACTTATAATATTCTTCACCACCATGTCTATCAAGTGAGGAATAAACAAGGAAACCAGCAATACCTGGATTTTGGGGAGAGGCAGAGGATATTTCTGTTTGCTTGGGGGCTTTTCTACACATAAATACAGTAACCTGAACGTTTGATTGACTTGGAAATGTTCCATTATTTAAGTTATGTGTTAAGTGAGGAAACAGAGGATTCTGGTGCAATTAAGATATTCATAAATGAGAAGGTACCACATCCCTACAAATCCCTTCAATGTGTTTCAGGCAGCTAAAAAGCCCTAAATTCCTACCCCAGCTGTTTTAACTTGTTATATCCTTCACAAGAGAGGAATTTTCATTACAAACAGTATCAAGATTAAGAGACTTCTGATTTATTCAGCAAAGTTTATGCTGCCAGAGCGACTCATTGTTTGATTTTATCTCGTTCTGCTTTATCACTTCTGCCAAGGGGTTGATGAAGTTACTCAAATCTTTTAGCAGGGCTTCTAAAAAGGAAAATAACAGGAAGAATTAGGGAGGGTATCGTGGATATGGCCCTGAAGTAACAGGGACTGCACAGGGAGAAATCCTGTTGCTAAGAGACAAGGGATGGGAAAGCAAGAGACACTCTGCTTGTTTTAAGTGTGTCCATTAAGCAACATTTCTTAATTTACAGATAACACCCAGCAACAACAAAAGCGTGGCTCTGTTAAAGGCTGGGTGAAACATTTAATAAATATATTTAAACACTTATGGGAAGTTAAGTGTGTCTTCAAGGTAAACTCAGCTCAAAGCATCTTGGAAGATCCACAGCCACCAGATCCTTGGATAAAAATGAACCCCCCCCCCGACGGCTGTTCCATCTTCCTTTGGGAAGGAGCTGAGCTTTGGGAAGGGCTGGTGGGTGACAGATGACTCCCATGGTTCCAACTCCTCAACAGATTTTTTTTTTTACTCAAAAACTTCTCCAAGAAGCTGAATAAATGTCAAAAGATCCAGCAGGAGGATTGAAGGAACATGGCAGGGATGAGAAATGGCACGTCACGAGGAGCAGGAGCTGTCTGAAGCCGGGACTCTGAACGGGGGAGCAGCAGCAGCTCTGAGTTAAAGCAAGACCAAGAAACCAATGTCCCAAAGAGCCCATATGGTGCCAGTTCATAAATATAATCACAATAAACAGATAACACTCCTCTCAGTGCCAGCTCACACCGATTTCAGGCTCCAACAATGCAGAGAGTTGGTTCCTTGCAGCAGAATGATCCCAACCACGGCCCCTCTGGCTCAAAACAAACCCACTGTTCCCACACTCCTCATCCCAACCCAGAAATGCTGCCAGGGAAGAGCAAGGTGGGAATGGATCCTGGGAGGGCACCACATGGGAAAGGGAATGAGAGCAGGGTTTGGGTGAGGAGATGGAGGACGGGAGGCTGGGCAGGAGCCAGCAGGGCAGGACTGAGCCCAGAAAGCCAAGCTGGGCTGATCCCACAGCGGGGGCAGCAGGGCAGGGGGGGATTCTGCCCCTCTGCCCCCTCAGGGGAGACCCCCCTGCAGAGCTGCCTCCAGCCCTGGGAACAACAGCAGGAGGACGTGGAGCTGCTGGAGCAAATGCAGAGGAGGCCCCAGAGCTGCTCCCAGGGCTGGAGCCCCTCTGCTCTGGAGCCAGGCTGGGAGAGCTGGGAATGTTCCCCTGGAGAAGAGAAGGTTCCAGGGAGACCTGAGAAACCCTTGTAGGGCCTAAAGGGGCTCCAGGAGAGCTGGAGAGGGACTGGGGACAAGGGAGGGAGGGACAGGACACAGGGAATGGCTTCTCAGTGCCAGAGGGAAGGGTTAGATGGGCTATTGGGAAGGAATTGCTGACTGGGAGGGTGGGGAGGCCCTGGCCCAGGTTGCCCAGAGAAGCTGTGGCTACCCCTGGATCCCTGGAAGTGTCCAAGGCCAGGCTGGACGGAGTTGGAGCCACCTGGGATGGTGGAAGGTGTCCCTGCCCATGGCAGGGGGGGTTGGACTGCATGGCCTTTAAAAAGACCCTTCCAACCCAAAACTGTTCTGTGATTATGAGACATCAGGAAGATCAAATAGTGCTTCTTTTTCTCTCTCACACACACTCTCTTCAATTAAATTTGAACAAGCTACGAGACAAACAACTAGAAACACACAGAGTGCATTAATTTGTTTTTTTTAAAAAAGCAGCAAAAACCCCAAGGATAATATAGAGACACCTCAAACAGGCATAACCAATAACACCAACTGGAAGTTAACAACTGGATGCAAACATATTCTTGCTCAAAGCTCTCCTCCATCACAGACCTTTCACCCCACGAGGCCACAAAGCACTTTGAGTGCTACAGGCATCGTCTCTACCCACCCTTTTAATGCCATTTTTTATTCCCCCAAACCCACAGCACGCCAGGCACAAACATGGAAAACGAGCTCCTTGCAACGAGAGCTGTGAAAAGAGCACAGGAAGAAAGGCTTAACCTGTTGTTTTCTCTTAAAAACCCCAAATATCTTGTTTCTCTGAGTTCAGTGAGGATATTTCTCAGCTTGAGCAGCTTCTCAGAGCCCCCACCACAGCTCTGCAGCTCCTTTGTAAGCGGGTCGTGAATTATTCTTAATATCACACAATGAAAACCCAAGAGGGAGGAAATGGAGCCGTATCCAAATGGGAGGACAGCATTTAAGAGAAGTAAAAGCAGCAATCTTGCTGAGAACTCTGCCAAGCACACTCTAAGAGGAAGGCTCTTGCATTTCCAAAAGAGCAAACCCATTTCCAACACCCCCCAAATGGTCAGGATGTGGATTTGCATCTCCGACAGACGACAGCTCGATATCTGGGAGCAGCACGTGGCAGTGGAGGTTTTGTTAGATCTGGTGGTTTGATAAAACCTGTTTTCAAGTGTGTTTCCTGCCCGTTGTGCTTATTAAACAGGAATCCTGGGTGGATTTGGGGGCCTCATTCATCTGTGAGATGTGACAAGACGCCAACCCCGGGTAACCGAAGAGGCTCTTTTCTCGCGTCCTCCGTGCTTCAAACGTCCTCTGTTGCCATTTCATGTCACCAAGGGGCTGTCTGACCACAAAGCTCTGGCTCAGGAATGAGCCCCTCCTGTCCCCTTCCTCTTCCAGAAAGGCATCAAAGGACACAGGCATTTATTAAGGAGCTCACCTCGAAAATTGCATCCTCACACGGGCAGAGGTGAAGGCAGGTGCCCCTACAGATCAGCCCTCAGAAGTGAAAGCTTTGCCTGTATTTACTCTTAAACTGGGAACATGAATTACTTTTGTTATTCATTTGGATGAAGACAAAAGCAGGAGGCTGTCAGAACTTATTCCCATCTTCAAATCCCAAAAGGAAGGAGAGGGGTCAGCAGAACAGGGACCTTGGACTGTCACGGGGCCTGTTGAGGTGAGAGACCATTGGGAGCCTGTCCTGAGGGGCAAAGGGGTCCTGGAAAGCTGGACATTCACCAAGGAGGAAATCCTAAAGGATAAAAACCAGGAGCTGTGGCTGGAACTCAAGGAAAAAAGGAGTTTCTGACCTTTGGAAGAAAGGACAGGCAAGCCAGGAGGAACACAAGGATGCTGTGAGGTTGTGAAGGGAGAAAAGAAGGGCCAAAGCCCAGTCAGGATTTAATCTGGCTGTAAAGGGCAATAAAAATGTTTCTAAAAATACATCAGCAACAAAATGAGGGCCAAGGAGAATCTCCATCCTCTGTTGGATGTGGGGGAAATAGTAAGAGAAGTTCAGGGAGAGCCTGAGGTACCAAATGCCTTCTTTTGCCTCAGCCTTTAACAGCAAGACCGGTTTCCAGAGATATCCAGTGCCCTGAGCTGGAAAACAGGGATGGAGAGCAGAATAAACCCTCATAATCCAAGGGGAATTGGCTGATCTTCCTGTCCTAACAACCTCTGAAAACCTCTTGTGGAGGAGAACATGCAAATATGGCTTCTCAAAAGCCTCCTGAGACAACAACTTAAAAGAATGACTATTTTGCCTCATTCTCTGGTGGCCATTTTAAAAAAAAAAATCATCACTGAATCGTTTTTTCACCTGAAAATGCACAACTTGGTGTTTAAGCAGTCAAAAGTTGTCACTAAAAGTTGAACCATGTGCATCACTGATTCCTTCACTTCCATGGTTTCAGAGGTGGAAGGTTCCCTGAACAGATCCCTGCTTTGATGATGCCCTACAAACCTTCTCTGCCAATTGGGAATTCCTTCATTTTTCCAGTTCTGCCGCTTCCCAAGAACCCAACCTGCTGCAAGGGCTGGTCTGATTCCCCCCAAAAGTCAGTGTTGGTACCTCATTTAAGCAAAGCAGCTGAAGAAAAGGCTCTTGGGTCTTGTTTTTCACTCCAAAATTTGCTGCTGCTCATTACTGAAAGTTTCATTAGCTGGGGGATTTTATGGGTCTCCAGTAAAATTTAATGTGCTATTTTCCATGATTTATGTCCTCCTGATTATGCCCTTTCTGCCTTCAAACCTCTCAGAGAAAAGCACATGAGTTCCTGGTGCCCCAAAGCCATCATTTCACACTTGAAGGAACGTCACCTGCTCATTCCTGGTGTTCAGTCCTTGTTCCAACACATTCACGGAGCCAAGGAGCAACAAATGGACAGTTACTGCAGAAATGGGAACTTTAAAAGATTTGGGGCATTTTCTGCTCTGTGTAACTATGAAGCCCAGAGGAAAAGCCAAGTTTAAAATCCTCCTAATCTACACAAGCATGAAAATCAAGTCTCCAAATAAAAAAAATAAGTGCCCTGTGGTCAAATATCTGATGATGGGACCACACACAGGAACTAATAATGAAATTATACAGGGAGAGGAACTATGTGTTAACTCTTCTGGCTTTCATGGCTCTAAAATCTCCTTGATTTTCCCTTTCCTTCCCCAAACACACCCCCAGATTTACATTCTAGGAAAAATGCTAGAGAAAAACCACCCAGATCCTCAAGTGAGAAAAAAAAATATCTTTTAAGTATTTATTGAGCATGTTTGAAGTGGAAGCAACGGAGACAACGTGGCACAATGGCATTTTTGGAGTCACCTTTAAAACTGGATATTTAAAGCTCTGGCTCCTGCAGGGATCTTCCAGGAGCAAGTTCCCAGGTCTCCACAAGTTTTCACCTCCACAAAAATAGCTGTATTTTGAAGAAAGAGAGGCAGGAGCAGTAACTAGACCTGACCTTAGAACCACCACACTGCCTGGATTTAGAAGTTCCATTTCTCTCCTATCACTGAGGAAAAAAAAGGTCACTGAAGCAAATTGTCAATTCAGCCTCAAATTTACATATACATATGCAACAATATTAATTTTCACCATCACAGCTCATCTTCTGTGGGATTCCTAAGCAGAATTCTCCCAAATTTCTCAGGAAAGGGCAACTCTCGGGCTTGCTGTGAACCAGGTGAGCACGTTTTATAGTTCCAGGAAGAGCCTGGCAAAGCAGGAACCTCCACAAATACTCTCCAGAGTACAGAAGGTTCGAGAGAAATATCATTTAAAAGTGGATTTATTTCTCTGAACTGGCATGAAGGGAAAATGTTACTGGTGAAGTGCCATATCTGCAATCCTCAGGTGAGCGTTACTGAAGGCTCTGTTTATTTTACATGCAGCAGGAACAGCTTTAATTCCCTTATAAAGATTCTCCAGCACAAGGCAACACCTCCTTTGGGAAGGGAAGACAGGAAGGACTCCAAATTTTGGCATCTTTGCTGAGACAAGTCGAGTGAGTCAGTGCTTTATAATGTCACCCATTAATATGCAAGGCCACTTTGTTTCATCAATAAAAAAGCCAAAAAGAACCTAAGTGACTAAAGGTAGGAACAGCTTTTGTTATGCATACACATAAGTTTTAAATTCTCTGCTAGTTGTGCAGTCCTGGAAAAGGCTACTTTTAAATAAAATTACAGGGAAAAAAATCTCCATAAGTACATTGTGCACTTGAAGCAAAACCATATGCATACTTTGTGCTGATCAAATGTTTTCTATTATGATCTGCAGCTTTCCCAGTCTGAGGGACACTTGCCCAGCACTTCACTGAGTGACACAGAGCAGAGTGAGGAGCCAAGGAAGAGATTTTCTGGTGTGCTGGGTGTGAAGAGCAAGAAGAGATCTGCAAAAAACCAAGAATTTCAGGCAGATTTTTCAACTGGCCCAAACCAATTATTGGAGCTGAGGATGAAGCCACCAGAGCCTTTGTTTGCAGGTATTCAGCTGGTTTATGTTCACAAGCAGCCACTGCTGTTTGTACCCAAGAACCTTCACTTAAATCACCATCACAGAATGGTTTGGGTTGGAAGGGACCTTCAAGACCATCTTGTTCCATCCCCAACACCTTCCACTATCCCAGGTTGCTCAAAGCCCTGTCCAACCTGGCTTTGGACACTTCCAGGGATGGGGCAGCCAAATCTCCACAGATGTGACAGGGATTGACAGGGAACTGTGAGTCTTTAAAGGTGACAAGTGCCAACAGAATTCTTCTCAGAGCATATTTAAGGTTTGTGTTACATTGGCAATCAAAAAAAAAAAACAAATCAGGAAGACACCAAAGGTATTTCCAGTCTTCAGGAAGTGCATGTCCTGTTCTATTCCCCATCCATGAGATTCCCATCAGCTCCAGAACTTCAGACTTTTTGGTTTTCCTACTGTACAGAGGACTGATATTTTAGGTGAAAAACAATGGCAGGCACTGCAGAACTCCCTCACTGAAAAGGAAGTGTTTTAACCTTTACAGGAGTTGGAACCAGATGATCTTTAAGGCCCCTTCCAACCAAACCCATTCTGTTCACAGTGGTCAGACTGGGATTCAGATTTTTGTGGTTTGTTTCCTCAGTTCCCCAAAACCATGTGATTTTTAGCAAGAAACTGAACTGAATTTCTCACTGAACACAGAGCAGAACAGGAATTCTTAAGTTTTTCCCTCAGAATTTTCACACAGTTCCCCTCTTCTAGGTTTTTTAATGCGCTTTCCAGCCCTGAAAGGTTCCCTTGGCAGATCACAAGTGACTCCTCACAAACCTCCACTCCATGGAAAAACAGCCCCAGGGCTCTGAGAGCAGCCCTGCAGGAGGAGAGCTAAACAACAAAACCCCTACAAGAGCAAAAGATAAGAATAATCAAAGAGAAGGATCTAGGAGGGGAGTGTGACAAACCCAGAAGCAAAAGGACAAAAGAATTAATAAGGATGAGAAGGGAACACTCTCTGCATTTGAGGAATACTGAACCAGTCAGGTTTTGAAAGGAAGGATGGAAGAGACTTAGGTCAACTCTGTATTATTCATCAAGGACAACCCCACTTATTAATCTTCTGAAACAATACAAGGATTAATTCCCCACCTCTGCAGCCCTTGCAAAGCCTCCCACGAAAGCACCAATAAAACAATGTTTTTGCTCAGTGTTTGTTGTAGCAGCACAAAGATCATCACTGGATTATTGCTGTGTACAGACACACCTTGAGCCAAAGCTCCCACAAGGGAAAGATTTGACCTTTTTGGCTCCAACACTGCAAAAAAAACTTCAGTAACACCCACACAAACCTCCAGGAAGTAATGGAGGGGAGACCCACACACAAACTGAGCCAAACTCATGATCAAAGTGAGAACAGGTACAGAAAATTAAGTGTATTTAACTGAAGCTGATGGGGACAGCAGGGGGGAAAGATGATTTTCCAAAATTAAAAAGCAAATGTGGCCAGTTCTGCCCCAGGACAAGCCACTCCCTCATGGCACTGCACAAATCCCTTCCCAAGTTTTAGTCTCAGGGCCTGTCCTCAGCAGCCAGAGGTGGAGAGGGGATGATGTTCCTCCTGCTACTCCTGTAAAATCAGCTGAAGAGCTACAAATTCGTTCTGTGAGGGATGTGTATGACTTAAATACTCACTGCTGGAGCTTCCAGGAGTGCTGAACTGGGAGGTTTCCAGGAACTTCCGAGGTGTGGATAAATTAGTGACATCCATCAGAGGCACAGGAGAGGCATCTTTCACCAGGGAGCTGCAGGAGGGGAAACAATTAAAGCAAATAGTTTGCTGTTATTTACAATCTTTGCTCACAACAATAACCCATTTATTCCTTAAATTTTAGATGCTCCTGTTCCCCATGGCTTCTATCAACTTCTAATCCTTCAAACTCCTCTGTTTCCACCAGAAATCTCCAAACTTTTTCCTCTCCTTCCTGTTCTGTGCACACCCAGGTGCATCCCATCCCAAATGGACTTTCTTACTCAGGAGTTAAAGACTTTCTGCTTGGTCCTTTTCCTCATAAATTCACATTGTATTAGTAGCCAGAAATGTGTCACACTGCACAGTCACAGCTGGACGTGGCAGGAGGACACAAGAAATCCTTTTTAGGAGGAAAAAAAATGCAGAGGGCTCCTATAATGGAGTTCAGGATGTTTGCTCAGAGGTCAAAATGCTTATGGAGACCTGCAAAAATAAGGGAATCCTGCTTAAGAACCACCTGTATTCCTTATACACCTACAAAACCATGCTTCCAGGGATTAGCTGAGCATTCCAAAGTTGGATAAAACCCACTTAAAACCAATACAAGAAATAATTATAAACATTTTTGCACCCTGGTCAACCAGCCAGCCCAGGGCAGCACATTAAACCAAAGTAACAAACTGCCCTTGCTGGGAGAGTTCAAGTCATCAAATATCCAGGATGTGCAACAGGGAAGGTGAAAAAAAAGACAAACCAGAATAACGGAAAGGTCCCTGCAGCAGCCACACCAAACTGCAGTTAATTAGCAGTGCCCCAGACTGGGTACACCAAAGCTTTGTGTCTGTTTTTAATTAACAAGATGAGTAAGGAAGGGGCTGCTGACTTGCCAGCAATGCTCCTTCCAAGGAAATTTCAATTTTAATCAGTCCTTTATTTCATAAATTCATTTCATGCAACTTCCTGTCTCACCTGTTCTTTTTGGAGAGGCAGATTTTTAGTCCTTCTCCTCATAAAATGTTAATTTATCTTTTCTCTGCATCTTTATCATATGTTGGTTCCCCTTTTGCTCCCTGCCCCTGCTTATTCCAAACACTGTGTTTCTCTTTTCTAGGCACTGCCTTCCTTCCTTCCTTCCCTTCGACAACTCTTGCCCTCAAACACAGAATCAGCAAAATTAGGAATAAACAGCCAGGTGCCCTCTACTTCAGGTGAATTCCCAGAGGTACCAACCAGGTAAAGAAGTTTCAACATCTTTAAAACACCCTGGAAACACAACAAAGCCAAGAGAATTCAGCTCTGGCTTCAATATTGTGGCCTCCATCTATTAACCTTTAGAAATCTGTTTAGAAACTTTATGGTTACATCTTTTAAAATGTAGATGTTTGCTAGAAAATGAGCAATTTTCCCCCATCTTCTTCCCTTTGCCTGACCTGAGCCTCACCATCATGACATTTGTAGGAAAGGTGGAAGTACCAGTGAAGGAAAAGAGTGGGAACTGGGCTCAACAGAACTCTGTGGGAAGCAGCAAAAACCCAAGAGAACCAGCAAGCAAAGTGGAGGAACGAGAGAAGGACTGAAGGTCCATCGACATATTTGAGTTTTCCTGCTCTCCACAGCCATAAAAATGAGGAATCTGCATGGCAAAAATGAAAGGTTGGGGTGTAAGCTGATGGTACTCTCCCAAGTTCCTACTTAGGACAGGGGGAATGTTGGCCTCTTCCCTCCCAGACCTGCTGTCCCCCAAACCCACCTGACAAGCAGCCTGTTTGTACCCCAGAACCTTCATTTAAATCCTCATCACAGACTGGTTTGGATTGGAAGGGACCTTAAAGCTCATTTCATTCCAACCCCTGCCATGGGCAGGGACACTTTCCACTATCCCAGGCTGATCCAAGCCCCATCTAGCCTGGCTTTGGACACTTCCAAGGATGGGGCAGCCAATCTCCACAGATGTACCAAGTGTCAACAGAGTTCTTTTCAGAGCATATTTAAGGTTTGTGTTACACTGGAAATTAAAACAAAATCAACCAGGAAGACAGGAAGCTGAACATGAGCCAGAGTGTGCCCAGGTGGCCAAGAAGGCCAATGGATCCTGGTCTGGCTCAGGAACAGTGTGGCCAACAGGTCCAAGGAAGTGATTCTGCCCCTGGACTCAGCGCTGGGGAGGCCACCCCTGGAGTGCTGTGTCCAGCTCTGGGCCCTGAGCTCAGGAAGGCCCTGGAGGGGCTGGAGCAGGGGCAGAGAAGAGCAGCGAGGCTGGGGAAGGGACTGGAGCACAAGTGCTGTGAGGAGAGGCTGAGGGAGCTGGGGGGGCTCAGCCTGGAGAGGAGGAGGCTCAGGGGAGACCTCCTCACTCTCTGCAACTCCCTGACAGGAGGGGGGAGCCGGGGGGGGGGTTGGTCTCTTTTCCCAGGCAGAGATCAGCAAGACAAGAGGGCTCGGTCTAAAGCTGTGCCAGGGGAGGGTTAGGTTGGACATTAGGAAGAAATTCTTTCCAGAGAGGGTAATCAGATATTGGAATGGGCTGCCCAGGGAAGTGGTGGATTCTCCATCCCTGGAGGTTTTTAAGAAGAGACTGGATGTGGCATCAGTGCCATGGGTTGGGAACCACAGCAGCAGCGGATCAAGGGTTGGACTTGATGATCTCAGAGGTCCCTTCCAACCCAGCTGATTCTATGATTCTATGACACCAAAGGTACTGAAAGGACAGGACTTCCATTCATCAGGAGGAGCATCTCCCGCTTTATTCCCCATCCATGACGTGTGGGACGGGAGATTCCCATCAGCTCCAGAACTTCAGAGTTGGGTTTTTTTACTACACAGAGGTGAAAACCAATGGCAGGTAGTGCCCAAGTGCCTCACTTTCCCCAGGGCAGGAGGACTGTTGCCCTGTCCCCCCCCCGAGCCCGGACGCACCCGATCCTGCCCCTGTCCTTGCCGCGCTGGCCCACGCGGTTGGTGGATTTGATGTAGAGGTGCCGGTGCAGCTCGTCGATCAGCACCAGGTGCAGGTTCATCTTCTTGCTGTGCAGCTCCAGCCTCAGGTCACTCAGCCCTTCCACCTGCAGGAGGGGACCTTCCAAGGAATCCACGGCCGACACCTGCCGGGAAACCACGGGACAGCTTTGAAATCTTAAATCTCCTTTAAATATTGTTCATCCCTCAGCGCTTCGCTCTTTGGGCAGTGGGGTGTCTGAATATCAGGATGATTTTATCCCTAAAACCTTTGTAAAGCAGAAAACCTTGAAGTAATAGTTCTTTCTTTCTATTCCTAAACGAAGTTCAACATATGGAAGGGTCCAATTCCCAAAAAAATTCACATCTAAGGTGCAGTCTTCAAATATTTGGAGCACACGTGTAAAATAAGTTAGTGAGAACACAGTTCATTAATTAACTGGTATAATTATTATAATAAATTATAAAATTATACCAATATAATTATTAAAATAAGTTATAAAAATTATACTCATATAATTATTATAATAAATTATAAAAATTATATTAATATACTACAATATAACATAGTTTACAATTATATTGTTCATATATATAGTGTGAAATAATACTATAATAGAAATATAATAAATTTTATATTTTTATAAATATATGTTTACATACTTTAGAAATTCTTTGTATATTTATTATTATATTATATTATTATATTATTATATATTATAATATGTTGTACATAATATTATATTATATTATTATATTATAGTTATATATAATTATATTATATGATATATGATATATTATTATATATAATTATATTATATACTATTAATATTATTTATTATTTACATATTATTCCATTTTTATATATTTTATATATTTATATATAAATACATATTTATATATTTACAACTCTTATGCATTTATAGAAATATATATTTATAAAAATACTATATAAATATATATTTCAATAAATACACATAAATGTATATATTTATAACTTTATATACTTATACATAATATATGTAAATATTATATGATAAAATGATATTATGATTAAAATACTATATTATTCTATAATAAAATATTATAATAGATATCAAGGCACAATTTATCCCAAAACAGGAGGATTATCAAGTAGAAAACTGCCAAAACAAGATACTGGCACTGATGTTGGATTGCTGTTACTCTTTTTATTACACTATTACATTGTTCTCTAAACAGAACAAGGAACCTAAATTTCACTGATATACTAAAAACAAACGTGGACAAAACCCAAATATTCCCCCAGGAATGATAAATCACTGCCTAAAAGCAACAACTTCCCATCCCTCCTGGTTTTCTATTTCACTTCCACAGCTACTAATAAATAAATAAAAGCGAAGCGTCCCTCTTGCAGCTTCCAAAAACCTCAGTGGTGATGTTGTAAGAAACCAGGAACAGTATGTTGGGCATGCAGAGGTTGAAAATAAAGTTTAAAACCCCCTTCCCTACTAAGGGAAGATGCTGGTGGTGAAACAAGAGCTTTGCTTGCACTGGAGGATTTCGCTTCATAACAAACCTGTCAGTTAAACATTAAAAATTAAAAGGCAGGAGATAACAGTGAGCAGAGCCCAGCCAGGGGCTGGTCCCTCAGTACCAGTAAATATTATCTCTACTCCAAGAACATCCATCACCAGTGAATTCCATTGCTTGCCTGCAGGTCAGGAATAACCCTGGGATAGCCTTGGGACAGCCGGGCTGTTTAAATTAGGAGCAGTTGCTAAGAGGAAGCTGCACTTTTTCCTCGCTCCCGAAAAATTTTTGTCAGGAAATCCCTCCCTGTGAATTCCCTTCTCTGCATGGATGAGGAAAGAGTGCAGCCCGCAGGGTGGAGCTCAGTCTGGAGCAGGAATTAGTGTCCCAGTGTTAATTAATTCATCAGGCTCCTCCCCAACGCCATCAACCAGCACTTACTGGACACACTGGACACAAAGCACCGTCCACCCTCTTCCTTCCCAGTATCCATCTGGGAACAGCCATGGAAGCTGAGCCAGGACACATCAGGAACCCACCCAGGCCACAGATGAAGCAAAAGCCCTGATTTCCCTCTCCCAAAAGGAGAGGACACCCAAATGCCAGAGCACACCCTGATGGAGCAGCTCAGCGGACACAGCTCGGAAACCTCCGGCAGAAGTAGAAGCTCCAGTTTTCCTCTTCTTCCTTTGGCAGCAGGGAGGGATGTGCCCAAAATTTCCCAATTCCAAAGGCATTGTAACCCCCCCCCATGCAGTCACTACACTGCCCCAGCTTGGAAGGGACCCCTGGAAGTTTCTCATTCTGCTTCCAAGTAGGTCTAACTTCCCCATCGGCTCAGGGGTGGAACATCTGGAGACTCCCGGTGCCTCCTGATCTCCTGGGGTTTCATCCCTCCCATCCAGAAGGATTTTCTCCCTGTGTCCAGCCAGGACCTGGTGATGGTCACCTCTGGTTTGGGCACTTCTGGAGGAGTTTGGCTCCAAATCAGTGAGGGAACTGAATCCTGTTTTCCCCGTTTGTCCATACACACAGAGAACTGAGGGTACAATCAACACCCCCTTGCCTTTGGCTCCTCATCCTCACTGTGTGGTGGATAATGAGGCTTAAAGATGCTCTAAAACATGCAGTGGTATCACATTTTAAAGATTCTCTAAACATGCAGTGGTATCACATTTTAAAGCTGCTCTAAACATGCAACGGTACCACATTTAATTAGCTTTTCCTCTCATTCTTCCCCCTCCCCTCCCCCCCCGAGCTCAAACCACCCTTCCCACGTAATTCCCTGGTTTTTAACACTCCCATTACCCACTGGGGGCTGTTCCTGCCAACAAAAGGCCTAATAAATGGAATTGGACAGGGAGGGGAAGAGTTATCCCCCCTCAGTTAGCCCCCAATAATGGAAAAGCAGCCTCTCCCAGAGAACCTGAAAATTAGATGTACAGAAGAACCACAAGTCGTTCAAGGGTCCAGAAAAAGCACCTGAGGGTCCTTTAAGCCTCTTTCTTCCACACACATGGCCCAGTTAAATGGAAAAAAAGTGATTTTTATCTATTTTCTGAAGTTGGAGTACCTGGACACAAAGATAATTAGAGGTAAGGGGGCTGCCCACATTATTTTGGCAGGGGTTGGGGTGCAGAGAGGAGCTACAGCAAGAGAAAACAGCCTGGAAAGTGAATCAAAACAAGTATCTTGGTTTTTTTTTTTCTTTAAAAAGCTGATTAAAATAAGGAAATACCACCCAAAGACATTACAGGTAATCCCCACCACCTTCTTTAATTCTTTAATTCAGAAATCTGGCTCTCCTATTGAAAGCTGCTCATAAAAACACAACAACTGTAATTCAGGCAAATAATAATTCAAATACTGGCCTGGATTACCACAGCATTTGGCTTAGATAATATAACAGTCATTTCTGATGTCCAAATCTACTTCTCTTATATCTATTTATTATTACCTCCAATAGGCAGAGACCTTTTGGAGGAATAAGGAGCAACGAAATGAGCCTGAAAAAAGAGCTCTGGCTTTGTATAAGCTAAAAATTGCCAGTTTATAGCAAATAACTGTGGCAGCAGCACCATTAGGCAGCTTGTTTAAAGGTCACAGGCAGTTTAGAGCAGGGCTTAATTGCCTTAAAAACAAAATGTAGCTAAACATTTGCTTAGCATAACATCCAATTTGGAAGGGTTTAATTTAGCCTTTTACAACAAACCACAGTCTAAGCGCTAACAAGGTATTTGTCAAGATTCTTGCTTTCAAAAAGTCAAAAAAGTTTTTCAATCTGTTTGCAGTTAAATCTATTTATTCTCCTGAAAGGTTTTCTCTAAACCTCCCCAGGTCTGGAAGCGAGCACAGATAAAATGAAAATCTTCAACTAGATGGTTTCTCAGGGCGAAAAAAACCTGGAATAATCGTAAAATTGTGAAATCACAGAATGGTTTCGGGTGGAAGGGACCTTAAAGATCATCCAGTTCCAGTTCCAACACCTTCCACTATCCCAAGTTGCTCCAACCTGACACTTCCAGGGAGGGAGCAGCCACAGCTTCTCTGGGCAACCTGTGCCAGGGCCTCCCCACCCTCAGAGGGAGGAATTTCTTCCCAAAGAATGGGTCATTCAGACTAAAAACCCAAATCCTTTCTGCCTGGGAAAAGCAGTTTATTCTGAGTTCAGACAACAGATATGAAAACGTGAACAAACAACAGAGAAAGGTTTAAAGAAAACAACAGGGGGGGTCACAACTGCAAGGAAAAAAGTCACATTGAACATAAACACAATATGACAAAAGGGAAAAAGCTGAAGCCCGGGAATAAAAGAGTAAATAAACAGCAGCAACCCAGAAGGTCCCGGCTGCCTCACTGGTAAATAAAGACACTGCTGACATTTAAAAGGAGAATTGATCTCCTGCTTTTTCAAGGGACTCGTTTTCACGAGGTACAGGAAAGGAAAACAACGATACAATGACTTAAATAAGTGTAGCCAGATCTAAACAAGCAGTTCACTGAACTCCTTTTGCACCTGAGGTGTGTGAGAGAAGGACCTGCCTGAAAACTCCGCCTGAGGAACAGGAGGGTCCTCCCGCTCCAGCTGCTGGGACTTTGCACCGGCCAAAAGGGCAGAACACCCTCCACTTGGGCCACAAGAACCTCCTGCAGCTGCAGGCTGGGCCAGAGGGGCTGGAGAGCAGCCAGGCAGGAAGGGAGCTGGGAGTTGGGCTGGGCAGGGAGCTGAAGAGGAGCCCCAGTGTGGCCAGGGGGGCAAGA